AGTCATAGGAAACTGTAGTACTACACCTCTTGGCGCCGGAAAAAAGGCCTTAGGTATGCTTTAATTCTCGGGGATATCTTCATGTTCGCTGTAACTGGTGTTTAAGAAATACAGATTGTGCATTAGATCTATGCTCCACCGCTATATAAATCTTATACAATTTTGGACTCTCTAGATGAGGAAAGCAGCCAATTACGAGTTTGAACTACCAGCCCAAGAGCAGGGGATATAGCTTGCCGAATGATTAACTTAAAATCGAATAATCGGAATTTGAAAAGCTCCATGCGAAACTTCTGTTGCTGTAGGTCCATGGTTCCCAATCGAGGGGTGGGCGAAGGCGTAAAACGTTTTGTCAAAGTTTTAAATGTTGCAAGTAAACACACGTACACAAACCAAGTACAGAATAGAGGAGTCTGCCCTGCTCCAATAAGTAACCAGTCTCGGTCCAAGGCAAAGACGGAATGATGAACTGGGTGCAGAAAATGGTCAGCCTTTTCTGGCGATCCCTCCAGCAGCTATTCATCTCGAAAGATATAGTACCAAGCTCATTACTAATGAACAGAAAAATATGATTTGTCACCACTGAATACCTGTTTTGATTAATACACAGACGAATCTATGATGTAACTAATACAAAGGATATAGGCATTCATCATGAGGAACATTTTTATAAGGTCTACTACTAATCACAGCGTGAAAGATATAGGTAATTAACTGGAATAAAGCTATCAAAGAATAACATCACCCAGTAGTCCTGACAATATATATTCTAATTCAAACAGGAATTAGTGGCCATTACGCTGTTTTAATTGAGGAAATATGTGCGGCAGACATAAAGCAGAAATGACCTGTAACTGCTTCTGCGTCTTATTCTTGAGGAGTTCCAGCTGGCAGTTTCCAAGTTACCGATTTTGAATGCTTGTGGATCGCCAGATCTCGAAGGCGCATCCACGAGAACATTACAGGGTCTGAGATTTGCTTCAAACTCCAAGCTTCCAGGGATCACGCTTCCAGCAAGAACATGTAGAATTTTTCTATGCCTACTCTTCCTTGTTGTGAAATCCCTCACGTAAGGCATTTGGAGCTTCACCTATCTAAATAATGAGGCAAAAGTACCTGCATTGATAACAGCTGCTTTGAAGATCTAGGCTAAACAACTGAGTAAAGAAATGACTCAGCTTTTTTTAGCAGCAATGCTATGCAGAAAATCAGTCAGTTTACATTATTGATGTCACACAATAAAATAATAGTATTGATAATAATGATAACAGTCTATTAATGATTGATGAGGATGATTGATGATGGTGATGATGATAATAATAAAAGTAATAGTAATAATATTAATAACAAAAATAAAAATAATAAGAATGAAAATAATAATAATAATAATATCGATAATTATAATGATAATAATATTGTTAATAATAATAATGAATAATACCAGTAACAGTACCAGCAGCAACAATAACAATAATAACAATAACCATTATAACGATATTTAACATTAATAGTAAGTAATGACAATGATCATAATAAACCGGCTGAAATGTGCCTGCCGCCACAGCTTCCGGGGAAATCAACTTTGTTATAATATTCTGCAATACGATAAAAAAGTCAGCCATTAGCTATCAATAAATATGTTCATATATCAAACGTAGCAATAGCCCTTGTTTCTCTGAATATTATTCTTCATACATTTTAAACGAAGGTGAGGCTAAAGAAGGAAATGCCGATAATTTTCCGGAAATTATTTCCCCTGAAAATAAATTTCCAGAAACTCATCCCTTCTGCATTGGCTTAGAAGAAGCACGTGCTAATACTCACCCCATAATGCAATTGTAAACAACACAAAATAAACCATACAATCAATACAACCTTCAAAATTCGCCAGATGTGCCCAGTTAACTCGCCTCTAGCCAATCAGAACGCTAGTTGGCGCCTTTCGATGTTATGATTGGCTACTTGCTGAGAAAAGGCGAGAACCTGTCACCTCCAGGGTGGTGCGGCCACGAGCAGCTGATTTCAGAGGTCTTGAGATGTCAGCCCAGTGATGATGTCAGCCTCGAGGTGATGTCAGCGTGATAGTGGTGTTCGCAGGACTCTTTTTCGGTCACCAGGAGTGTCAGGTGTCATCATGGAGGAGCCAGGAGACTCAGGAGAGGAGAAAAATGCGGTCGAGGGTTAGTGTTCACATGCACGATAGGCAGATGACCCGATTTTCCAGTTAGAGTTTATGTTCTCTTTTTGTCTCACATTTTTCCTGAATGTCTTTATATCTGTGTCATTGTTTTGTCTGTAGGTTGATGTTCCTTTATATCTTGTCTGCCGAGTCAAATCGTAATTTGATGTCTGTAGAAATTACATAAAGTTTATCATTGTATGATTTTATGAATAATGATATATGATTGTTCCAAGCCACCCTTAAAGTAAACAGAAGTCGCAGTATTTATCATTATTATAAAGAAAACAATTATTATTTTTATTTATAGAGAACAAGATTTATATGCTACCGCCCTACATGAAGCTATATGGAATTAGAAAACAAATGTATGCAGGTATGGGTATTTGTGCCCGAGGCTTGATGCTGTGGTTGGGACGCAAAAATTGTTTTGGGAGATATATATGATATTGTTTGTGAGGCAGATAGACTGAATACATTTTGGAAAAGTTAGATACAGTTCAAAGTCTGTAAGAACTGAGTCTGTAAGAGTGAGATTGTATTTTATATGAAAATGCGTGTCATAGATGAAAGAAGGAAAAATTTACAGTGGATGACAATCAGGGCTACAGTAAAAAAAAAGTATGGAATGATTACCTAGATGTAAACTGAGACCCTTTTCATCAATGCGAAAAAATGTGGAAATTGAAAAGAAAGGAGATGCATGCCAGAAAAGAGAGGAGGTTGTCCCATCTTCAAAAGAAGCGTTAGATGTCCAAATACTAGGAGTTCAATATAGTTTTGAAAAATTTTAAATGTAAAATGTTAAATAAAAGTAAATTATTAATGGTTTGTATCTTAATCAAAGAAGGATATCACTAAGTATAAAAAAACAAACAAAAAAAACAGAGAAAACTTGCTATATTTGCTTACATTCTTTTTAGTCAAGTGACTGGTCCCACCAGTGCACTTGGCCAGATGGGGTGGGGCTCGTGCAGAATTAGATTTTTTCCTCACCATGAGAATGTCATTTTGCTTGGATTTTTTATTACTGGATTTTGTATTTAATCATCATATTTAACCTTTAAATAACTCTCAAAAGAAGAAAAGCATATTGAGGTGTCATTGGTGTGCAAATTGGTATTTGTTCAGCCAGCTGTGTAGTCATTTTGGGAAACTTTTTTTTTTTTATAAGAATGTTTTAATGAAGAAGTGTCTCTATTAAAACTTGTTAGATGTAAACAAATATATAGTACAGTTAACTTATAAAGGCCTTGTGAAAGATATTGTGAATTGGATTTTGTGGTAGTTTTTTAAAAGACCCCAGAACTGGAACTGTCAAAACAAGACTTTTCTTTGAACTGTGATTTAAGGTCTGCAGTCTTAATTGGAGCCTGGTACTGACACCATGTCAAAGAGATTACTGCAGCCTACTCTCTGCAACAGAGACTAAGAAACCCCCCACAGCATATTCCTGGCAAAATAGCTTTATGACTGATTCCTTATTTGTTATTTAATTACTGAGGAGGTCTATTAGCTCTGTCTTGCCAAATATAAGTGTTGCAAAGATACAATGGCCTTTTTGAGAGTGACAACAGATACAGATGCTCCGTTCATTAGGATATGGCCATAGCATACATGAAGGTGTTTTCCAAATGCTTTAGAATTTTGTTAATTCTTCAAAATGGGATAGCATACAAATAGATAATTCCTTGGGGGATGTGGGAAACCATGCTAGGATTGGATTGTCTTGACATCCTGGTTCATAGCCAATTAATTTTTTTTTCTTTCTTGTGTGTGTGTGTGTGCGCACGCAAACACGTGTGTGTGTGCATGCATGCATGTATGCGTGTATATATGTATGTATGTATGTATGTATGTATGTGCACATGCATACATCCCCCTCTTCCTTGGGGATGTGGGAAAACCTCACTAGTATTGGATGGTGCAGGATATGTATGATAAGTATCTTACCCATCCCAGATGTGAATTTTTTTTAGTGTATTGGAAATCTTTAGAATATAAGATTAAAAGATCATGGAATTTGTGTATCACATAATTCAAAAACATTTTTATACTGTGACATAGTTTTAATTAAAAATAAAGAACTTATATGATCATGATGATAACAATGTCGATGAACAGTGAAGATGAAGTTGATGATAATGATAATATTAATAATAATAATAATGATAATGATAATAATAATAACTGATATTGATAATGATAATGATAATGATAACAGTCATAGTAATGAAAAAGATATGATAATAATAACATTAATGATAATGATAGTAATAGCAATAGCAATAGTGATATTGATAGTTGTGATAATAATGATAATGATAATGTTAACAATAAAGATAATGATAGCTACAGCAATAGCAGTATTGCTAATGATAATGATAATGTTAATTACAGTAACAACATTGATAAAAATAATTGATATTGCTGATAATGATAATGATGGTAATAGTGATAATGATGATAGTAAAGATAATTGCAATAATATGATAATGATAATGATAATGATAGTAATAGTAATAATGATTGCAGTTGTGATAGTGATAAAGATAGAGATAATGATAATTATAATGAATACAATAACAGTAATGACAATGACAACAACTACAGCAATGACAATAATAATAATAATAACAATAATAGTAATAGTAATAATAATAATGATTGTAATAATAACAATAAAAATTGTGATAATAATAATGACAATGATAATAAAAATATAGATAATAATGATATTGATAGTAATAATGAATTGATTTTGTTATTTATAATAATAATATTGATTTTGATAATGATTATAATAATATTGATTTTGTTA